GATCTCGGCTCACTGCAACCTCCGCCTCCCGGGTTCAAGCAATTCTCCTGCCTCAGCCTCCCAAGTAGCTGGGATTACAAGAGCCCACCACCACACCCGGCTAAGTTTTGTATTTTTGGTAGAGACGGGGTTTCACCATGTCGTTCAGGCTGGTCTCGAACTTTTGACCTCATGATCTGCCCGCCTCGGCCTCCCAAAGTGTTGGGATTATAGGCGTGAGCCACCGTACCGAGCCAACTTGTCTTTTAACATGGAATAACTCTGTATAGGTTTGTTTATTTTCTCCTTTAACACAATGTTTGGAGATCTGTCTACATCTTACTCCCACCTCCTCATCTAGGTCAAGCTTCTTATTTTGCAGTAGTAGAAAACCACACATGAAGTCATACAATGACTTTCCTAAGTTGGACAGCTACAAATAGAGACCAGAGACCAGCCAGTAGTTTCTTTCCAGTCAAACAAAAATCAATTATTTATTGAACAGAGTTTGCAGAAACTGGAAATCTCCAATTCAGCGACCAAAACCGCAATTACTTTTGCACCAACCTAATAATTTTTTAAAAAGTTATTAAAAAAAATAATAAAATAAAAAGCTGTTATTCAAACATAAATTCAACTGGTGCTCACTTTTGTTTTCACTTAAGTTAATCAGATGTTCATGTTACTATGAAGTTGACAAGTTAATTTGTAATGAATGGTGACCTAATATTTCATTGAGTAGTCAATCCCTCTTTCCACTAAAAGAAGCTGCTTCTCACTGTACTAAACCCCTGCCTTTCATTTTCCAAACTTTCAGGTGGCCAACTCCTTGTCATCTTCCCCTAGATCCTGAGTGGGGTTTACTCTTTTATCTCCCTCGGGGGCCGCTTCTCAACATTTAAAGAGCTTCCATCTCCACCTGTGTCTCCAAGACGATCTCTTTCTTCTCCTGGGCCTAGGTCACCTCGGGATTCCCCGAGGATCCCCGGAAGAGGCTGCACAAGTCAGGATAGGAAGTCCAGGAAATGGGGAGGTCGCCGATGACCACGCCCCGGGACTCTGTTTGGGAACCCCCAAAATTTACTGAGGTGGAAAAATTGCGGGTCATTGTGGGGTTAGGGTGAGGGGACCCGGTCCCAGGGAAAAGAGTTTGTGTTCCCACCAGAGGGAACGCTGGACGTGAAGGGAGCGTGGCGCCCTTCCTTCCCGGGGAGTCCTGGGCGTTGCTCTCTCGCCCCAGTAGTGATGCAATCTCTCCGCGCCGGGGGCGGGATGCGTTTGACGCCATCTCCGGGCGCCCGGCTGGGGGGGCGCTGGGTGTGGGGCGGCTCCGGGGCCGGGGATGGCGGCGGCCGCGGTTGCGGCGGCTCCGGGACGAGCGGGTGGATCCCGGGAAGCGCTGTGAAATGGGCCGGTGAGTGTCCCTGGAAGTCGTGGCCGCCGGGGCCAGGGAGGCCCGGACTTGGTGCTCCGGAGGAAGTGGCCCCCAGGAGCCCGTTGCTCCGCCGGGCCGGGGCCGATGAACCGCGGACAGAGGGAAGGGAAGAGGCCGCACCTAGACCCCTGCGCCCTTCTTTCTGCCCCGGCATGGAAGGCGGCTTCAGGCCCTGGCGCCCCGGTGGCTGTATTCCTGCGGGCCAAGGTGTCCCGAGTCTGCGGAGCGGGAATGGCCCCCAAACAAGGAAGCGTCGCTTGCAGGCCCTCGCCCCTACCCCTGCCCCTGCCCCCTTGGCGAAGGGTCGACCCTCTACTCTCTAAACGCAGAATTCCCGATTTCGAGCCCTACCCTGATGGTAGCAAGGATTGTGGGACCACTGGGAGCCATAACCCTCGTCTCTGACAAGCTTCTCCTTTTTTGTCGGGTGCACCTCTCGCCCGCAGGGAATTGGGGTCTCCAGCTGGGTTCACCCCCTTGATTCCGACCCAAGCGTGTTGAGGAGCTTGGTTCCGGGCTCTGCTAGCAGCGTTGGCAACTCTCCTGTTAGCTCGGTTGGGGTCACAAGCTGCGTCTTGCCTTTGAGATCCTCAGTGAGGTTCTGGAGAGGCCGAGGTTTCGGATTTTTAAGTGTGTTTTGCGTTGTGGGAACCTGGCGCACAACATTGGCTCTTTGTTGTCCTTTCTTCAGACCTTTTGCCTCTTTCGGTCCTTTACCTAGTCTGTGTTTGCTAACCTCTGGGTGACCTGAAGGCAGGTTTTCTCTAATGTTTTCGTTACAGAAAGCAAGGATCATTTTGGGATTGAAGATGTGACCCCACTTTGCACTGGAAATGAAGAAGAAGGCAAACTGCTTTTCAGTTACTAAAACTGCTGGTGGAGATCAGAGGCATCATTTATGCCACTGTGTAGTATGTGTGTTTGGAATTAGGAATTTGTCTTCCCACTGTGCTTTCCTATCCTATTACCTTTTTTTTTTTTTTGAGGCAGAGTTTCGCTCTTGTTACCCAGGCTGGAGTGCAATGGCGCGATCTGGGCTCACCGCAACCTCCGCCTCCTGGGTTCAGGCAATTCTCCTGCCTCAGCCTCCTGAGTAGCTGGGATTACAGGCACGCGCCACCATGCCCAGCTAATTTTTTGTATTTTTAGTAGAGATGACGGGGTTTCACCATGTTGACCAGGATGGTCTCGATCTCTTGACCTCATGATCCACCCGCCTTGGCCTGCCACAGTGCTGGGATTACAGGCTTGAGCCACCGCGCCCGGCCTATCCTATTACCTTTTATGTACACCTGCATCTTGCCAATCATAAGAGAGAAATGTTGCGTTCAGTTTGGGTTGAGGCTTGCAGTGTTCTATAGGACTTAGACAGGATATTCAATAGTTTCTCAGAGCGCTCATCTCTACTGCCTTCTCTGTTTTCAGAGGTTAAGGCTCCATTCTTTTGTGCTTCGAGTTTCTGGCAAATGTAGATTCAGATATTGATGGTTGAGTTGTAGTTTTGTTTAACTAGTGTTAGCTACCTAAGGATCAGGGCAGTATTTTCAGTTTCTTTCACACTTGATTTAGCTCTTGGTGTAAAGTTGTCACTCAGAATATTTTACACGAACATACACACACACACTCTCTTTTTTTTACCCTGAAAATCTCTTAATAAGTCTTCCCCTTGAGTGACTCCCCCTTGACCTCTTTTTCTGCCCCAGAAACATAAATAATTGTTCTTTTTCATCTAGTGCTGCCTTTTTCATTTAAATAACCTCCACATTTATGTTTTCACAGTCCCTGTATAAAGGGGAAATCCATGGAGTTGATTTTTCCTGCTTCCCATTGGTCATATGGGAACAGTATTAAATCTTACATTTTTATTTGTGCATTTAACTGAAATTTGGATTGGAAGCAAATTTAACCTTTGGGGAACAGGCATAGGTAGATATTAAGGAAACGCTGTTAAGAAAAACCAATGAAATTTGATGCATGGAAATGTTTTTCCAGGGATGTCTTCTTACAAGTGAGAGCATTAGAGATGTTTTTTTTCCCTCTGTTCAACTGCCTGGGTACTCTGGGTAAATGTACCATTTACCTGTGGAGAAGAAGATGAAGCAAGGACATGTATACTCTAATGCCTTCGAATTACCTTTCATGATAACTCTGGGTAAAATCAGAGATCTGGCAGCTGCTTACTCCATTCCTGTTTCTATCTTCTAGGCTCCCGAGCCAGCCGGGAGGACACTTACTACAGCTGCTCAGAAGCACCACTGGAAGCTCAGGTAATACTGGCAATTTGAGTTCCTTGTTTCAGGAAAATATCTGGGATGTCACAGTGGAAAAACAGAACAGAATATAATATAGGAAGCTCTTTTCAGATCCAAAGAACTGGAACTTGGTTGGAAGAAATAGGCAGCAAAGTTCATGTGCACGGAAGTGTTCAGACCAAAAAGTTGCTTTATCACAATGGACAAAAGCATTTGTGAAAGGTGACAATAAGAGAAAGGGAATTCTGTTATGAATTATACAGATATGGGGGAAAGACAGGCATGTTTAGAGGAATGGAACCAGAATTTTATAGAGTGGTGGCTGGAGCAGACCTGCAATGGAGAAGGAGCTATTGGCAAAAGAAAGCACAACGGAAAAAGAAAGGGAAGAATAGAGAAGGCAAATTGAAGGTGATCATTGAGAAGAAAAGAAGCCTTTTGGCCGGGCGCGGTGGCTCAAGCCTGTAATCCCAGCACTTTGGGAGGCCGAGGCGGGTGGATCATGAGGTCAAGAGATCGAGACCGTCCAGGTCAACATGGTGAAACCCCGTCTCTACTAAAAATACAAAAAATTAGCTGGGCATGGTGGTGCGTGCCTGTAATCCCAGCTACTCAGGAGGCTGAGGCAGGAGAATTGCCTGA